ACACACACACACACACACACCCCGACTGAACAGTATCTGTACAATTTAGCGGCACCGACTACCCCTGGAGTTATCCACCTCCTTGCCCGAGCAGTTTCTCCCTCCCGAGCACGAGCCACCATCTGGTCTTGCTCGTTGCTGGTCTCATTTTGACCCTCCAGAGAGGTCTTGGAGGAGAACAGTGCTCAGGACAGACACTTTTTACTAGTTAAGCTCAACTACTGTTTAGTTTTAAGAAGCCTTCAGGAGACAGTTTTGGTTTAAGGCCTAAAGATTATCCCAGGGAGACACTTTCAAGATTCCAACGCTTTCCATGGCTCTAGAAAGTCTAGAATCCATGAATATTTGAAACTCTGCTCTGAATTTTCCCAATTTGATTAGTTAAAATGATGGTATAGCATCTTGGATCACAACATTCAGCCATGGTAGCCAGGTACCATCCAGTTCTAGGCTCACAGCACAGGAGGCCGTGGTTTGCAGAGGCAACTAGCCACCCGTTCCATACCCTCCTGCAGTGTGGTGCCTCTGCCCTCTGTTCACACAATTACTGGTCCTGTGGGGCCTGAAGCGTCTTCACACGGCATCCATACTGTGGCAGGGATCAGCCTTCATTTCTCCTGGTGCTGAAGAGCACTGGACTGTATGTGTGTGTTGCACACAGACCCATCTTCAAGAGGGCAGTTCGGGTCTTTCTACCTGGCTACTGCAGTGACACTGGTGCGCAGGTCCCTTTTGGAGTCACGCCTTTCAAACACAGAGCTTGGAGTGGAAGTGCTGGGTCTGTATCATGATGGCCTCTGGGCCAGCGGCGAGGATCGTCATTCTCTTTACGCTCAGGAGTAATCCAGAGGGACGGCGCAGTCTCGGACCTTCACCAGCAAGTGTTTCAGGCTCTTCGATTCTGGCAGGAAAGGCTGTGCCAGCTGCAAGTTGTTAGTGGGTCTTCTAATCTGACGCCACATTGTTCGTGATATTATAGTCTCCCTTCTTGGATTTTGGGGTTCAGCACACGGATTAAAGGGTGAGTTGAAAGGCTAACACCTTTTCTGATTCTGAACTATGCAGGAGTAGCCCCTTGTCCTGCTGAAACAGCTGCCTCTGGGTCCACGCTCAGGTTTCGCATGAGCACAATGAGGTGCTCCAGAATTCCCAGGCTTTGCAACGTTATTAAGAAACTTAGAGGAGATAAGAGACGAAGGTGTATCTTCTGAACGGGTCCAACAAGGTAATGTCTTTGTACCTGGTCTCTTCGGGTACCGGCTCGCTATCTCCAATTGAGCACACAGCCACGCAAGCACACACACGCAGACGTTCAGAAAGGGCGGCATGCCTTTAGTGCGGCTCCTTCTTGGTAGGTGGTTGCAGTACCCAGAGATAGGAAGGAGCACACCGTGGGGAAATAAACACAGGACCCAGGGCCATGTCTGAGATGACAGTGACTCTAGCCACAAAGGCCCCATTTCAGGGCAGACAAGAAGCTACAGAGGGACACTCTGGCAGAGACACTAAGCTTTATGAAGAAACTCAGTGGAGATAAAAGCACCCCACGGTTTACTCTTTCAAGACCGTCAGTGGAAGGAGCTCTTGTAGCAGCACCTGGAAACAAGCTGGCTGCTTCTCTTCGCAGCACCTTCCCTCTGCTCCGGTGAAGGAAGCCTGAAGGGAACAACCAGGCCCCACCCAGCTCAGGTCCCCTCGGCACGGCATCAGCCTGGATGACGGATGGCGATCCCTGACCGGCGGGAGAGGAGCCGGGCTCTCTTACCGTACTTTTTCCTGATCTCGTCGTGCCGTGACTTCATCTCCGCTCTCCTAAAACATGAAAGAGAAACGCGCTAGCCTCAGATCCCGGTACCCGATGTCATCTTAAGACACACCCACCCTTCCTCCGGGTCAAAGCAGCTGCGAGTGTGTTCTGGGCATTTCCTCTCGCTGCCCAGAGGGGACCAGGTGAGGCTGAGCACGGCCAGGTGACACCAGACAGGCAATGGAACAGCAGGCAGTTTCCACAGATGGTTTCCTGAGGTCCCTGCCACCTGGCATTTATTCATGACATAGTCATTGTATCGCACGCATGAGGCTCATGCAAGCCAGGCCCCCAGCTGTTGCCGCTCGCTCTGACTAGTAACAGCAGACAGGGCAGACACAGCCTGCAACAGTGCTAACGCCGCTGACGAGGTGCCCACCATGCAGCGTCTCCTCTCCTACTGCGACCCACAAATCCCCACAGCCTTCATTTTTAAAACAGAAAGCAAGGAGACCTCGAACTTGAGTGTTCACGGTCCTTCTGATCAGCCCCCGCCCGCCCCTCCAGGCACCTCTCTTCCTGCCGGATCCTGCGCTCCTCTCGCTCCCGCATGGCCTTCTCCTCGCTCTTGTCTGGCTTGCGGCTCTTCTTCCTCTTGCAGCAGCAGCAGTAGCAGCAGCAGACGGCGAGACTGAGCAGGAGGGAGCCCCCCACCGCCGACATGGCAATGATCAGTGCCTCAAAGTTCACTGGAAAAGGCAAAGGTTAAATTCACTTCAATGATGGCACATACAACCAGAGGCCGCCGCCCCCCACTCTTATGAATGGTCTCAGTGCACAGAAGCCAAAGAGGGAAGTCCACTCAGACAGGGCCTTGGACAGGAGCTGGGATGGAATGGGTCTGACAGCAGGCGCTCCAACCCACATCTTCTGTCAGTCACACACTGGTGACTTGTATTCATCTGTGGGCTGTAAGCAACGGGGAGTGACGGTTACAGGACAGGCTTCCTCACCCACTGATCTTGAGGAGCTGGGATGCACTTAGCAAATGCACACAGGAAACCAAGGATGTCAAGGGGCATCTGCATTTACACTCTCCTAGGGCATCTCAAAGTCTTAACTTGCAGAAATTAAAACTACGTCAGAGACAGCTTATTTAATGTTAAGTTAAAGTCGAGGAGCATTATGTTTATTTCCAAGAGGAACAAGCTTCCTCTGGGGTACACCCTGGCCACAGTGGACACCATGGAGTCACTTTCAAATCGGAGTCTTCACCAGACACCCAGGGCTAGAGAACCACTGACTCATCTGTGTCAAAAAGCGTAGGAGTGCTTGCCAGGGTCAATTTTTGCAGACAAATACAATTTTAAAACAATTTCAAGTTCTTGTAAAAGTGTATAGATTAAAGCCAGTCAAGATTTTCCTATTCAACCCAGTGCTCCAAGGTGTGACTGCAACATATCGGCATGAAGCAGGGAACCAGTAGAGAGATCTGTGGGTCTGACCCCAATCTCAACTACGTGGACAGCCCCATCCCCCCCCACCCCCCGCCCCACCCAAGAGTTCACTTCAGAGGACAGCACTGAAGCTACTGCACAAGGAGAGGGACATGTCTGATCAGAGCACGTGGGAACAAATGAAGGGGGTTGGAAGAGAGAATGGAGCACATCCTGGCCCACCAAGTCTTGAGGACGATATCCTCAATGCACAGAAAGGACCATATGGCCGGCCCCACTATGAGACTCGACATCCCTCACTGACCCACAGCCCTACGGGGGACAACACTGATGACACAGTGTGGGAACTGCGCTCGATCTGACCCCACCACACCGAGGCAAAAGAGCATGCAACAGGACAGCAAGGGGATCAGAGCAAGGAAGTCCAGGGAATACCAAAAATAGACGTTGGGGCCAGGGTACGGCACCCCATTAGCCTCCACTGGAAAACACTCCTAAAAGTCAACAAACAGACCTTGAACTATTTACAGGCTTTTCTTTTTGTTTTGGTCAATGGTTTTTGTTGTTTTGTTTTGTTGCTTTGTTTTGCTCTGTCTTGTCTTTGTGCATATTATTATCTCGGCAGGTCTATCTAGATTAGATAGGCAGGATAAACAATCTGGAGGAGAAAACAATGGACCGGCGGTTGGAGGGTTGGTGGGAATGGGAGAGGGGGAGGTGGGAGAAAGGAAGTGGTATTAACAAACCCAGGGACAAGGGAACAAGTGATCCAAAATCAGTGGCGAGGAGGGTGTAAGAGGCCTGGTAGGGCTTGATCCAGGGCAATGTAACCGAGAGGAATTGCGGAAACCTGAATGAAGGCAGAACATGATAGTGGGACAAGAGGAAAGTAAAAGGAAATAGAGGAAAGAACTAGGAGGCAAAAGGCATTTATAGAGGTCCAAATACAGGTAGGTACATATGTAAATATATTTATGTATGATGATGTGGAAATATATCTATGTGCATATATTTATAGGCTTAGTATTAAGGTAGCACATGGACATTGGGCCTCCACTCAAGTACTTCCTCAATGAAGAAGACGTTGTTCTATTAAACTGGCATTCTATGATGCTCACCTTCCCGACACAATTGCTGAAGACAAAGCTGGTGCATAAGCAAATGCGGTGAAGAAAGCTGATGGTGCCCAGCTATCAAAAGACAAAGTGTCTGGGGTCTTAAAGGCTTGAAGATAAACAAGGGGCCATCTGGCTCAGAAGCAACAAAGCCCACATGGAAGAAGCACACCACCCTGTGTGATCACGAGGTGTTGATGGGATCAGGTATCAGGCATCAAAGAAAAAAAAATCTTATCATTGTGAATGAGGGGGAGAGTGTGGAGTGGGGACCTAAAGCCCATCTGTAGGCAACTGGACATCCCCTTACAGAAGGGTTGTGGGGAGGAGACGAGATGGTCAGATTGCAGTGTAGCAACGGTGAAACATACAACTTTCCTCTAGTTCTTAAATGTTTCCTTCCCACCACTACCATGATCCCAATTCTACCTTAGACCAGAGGATGTACACTGGTACAGATAGGAACAGGAAACACAAGGAATCCAGGACAGATGAACCCTCAGGACCAGTGGTGAGACTGGCAATACAGGGAGGGTGGAGGGAAGGTGGGGGACAAAGGCGCAACCGATTTAAAGGACCTACATATAACCCCCTCCCTGGGAGACGGACAACAGAAAAGTGGGTGAAGGGAGATGTTGGGCAAAGACATGACAAAATAATAATAATTTATAAATTATCAAGGGTTCATGATGGAGGGGGAGCGGGGAGGGAGGGGAAAAATGAGCTGATACTAAGGGCTCAAGTAGAAAGAAAATGTTTTCAGAATGATGATGGCAACAAATGTACAAATGTGCTTGACACAATGGATGGATGGATTGTGATAAGAGTTGTAAAATCATTAAAAATTTTTTTTTTTTACTATTCAACTCCAACGGGAGCTGAGTATTGAATGCCGCCTTTACAAATGGTTTTTAATTGTACTGGGAATAGCAGCCCTTGAAGATGCTTCAAAAGTGAGTCCTCCCCTGGAGAAGGGTGTTACTCTATGTGAATACACATGTCTGCAGCAATTCCACTTTTGATGTTTTTCAGACTTAAAAATGATGATACCACACAGTCAACAACCTGTAATCTTACGGCTCCTTGGGTTATTACAGGGGCAGGAACCCTCCCAAGATAATTGTTCAGCCAACAAAGGGTCTCAAACAGTCCACTTTATGGGAATGTGTTTGATTCCGCAGCCTTTTCAGAATGGAACCGTGAACGCAGACCTTTCACAGCTTGCAGAGAGCAGAAAGCTACAGGCAAGCAAGCTTCAGAGGCTGCCACCCCACTCCTCTAAGTCTCCTTCCAATCGCCAGGACGCCTGCAGGGTGGGCCTCTGAGGCAGACGCACCCACTGAGAGCCGCCCTCCAGCAGCAGGTGCCAGGTGCCTGAGTTGCTGCTGGTCCCTCTTGTTACTGTTTGAAACTACTGTAGAGAATTCTACAAATCAATCTGCAAAATAGCAAATGAACAAAACTTCCCTGCATTAAATAGGTCAACGAGCAAGGCAGCAAAACCGTTAAAGCGGAACCCTAAAGAAACTGTGTACCGTCGAGAGTGGGAAAGGCATTCACGACTTGACTAAATCCTAGCACCTGACAAGCCTAACCCAGATGTAATCCATCAAATAACACACACTCACAGCTTCATTAGGCTGTTGCTTTGAGGTGCCAACTACCACTGACCCTGTGTGCAAAAGATGGGGACACGCCCTAGGCCTGCGCTGTCTTCACAACCGTTGCTGTGCTGGTGCCTGTTGTTACAGCCACTGTGTCATCCTTCCTCTGGGTCACTGACCCCCACTCTCTCAAGCACGATGCCCTTCTCCATGGACTGGTCCCTCCTCATAACATGCCTAAAGTATAAATATTCCTCAGCAACGCCATAATTCAAATGCATCAATCCTTTAGTTTTCCTTAATCATTATCCAACTTTCACATGCACGTGAAGCAAATGAAAATACCATCGCTTTGGTCAGGCACACATTTTTACTTTTTTAACACTTTAAAGAGGTCCTATCCGGCAGATCCGCCCATTGTACTGCATCCTTTGATTTTTTGATTGCTGTTTATTTGGACTTGTTGATCCAAGTAAAATGACACCTTTGACCACTTCTCCATTTATTAAGATGTTGCTTAATGGTTCAACTGGGGACATTGTGCTCCTCACATCGAAGGAGCATCCATACGGAAGGCTGTAGCCTTAAAGTTCATCAGCAAGTGCTCAGGCCTGCTCACTCTCAGCACTAAGGCTGTGCCATCTGCATACTGCAAGCTGTAACGAGCCTTCCTCCAATCCCAATGCCACATTCTTCTTCAGATATTCCAGCCAACTCAGATTCCTTGCTCAGCACACAGACCGAACCGACACAGTAAAGGATATAGCCCTGATACACACTTTTACGGATTTTGAACGACTGCCTGTCAGTCTATGTACAGGTACAAATTCTAGATGAGTACAATTCAGTGTGGAATTCCCATTCTTTACAATGTTATTCATACTTCATCACGCACACAGTTGAATGCCTTTGCATACTCAGTAAGACACATGTAAACCTCTTTCTGGTGTTTCATCTTTTAGACAACAGCTGTCTGACAGCAATGGCACACCTCACTCCATGTCTTCTTTTGAATCCATCATACATTTCTGGCTACTCCCTGTCAATGAAGTGCTGCACTTGTGTGTGAACAATCTTCAGCAACATTTCACTTGTGTGATATTACTGGATAGGCCTGCATTCTGCTGGGTGCCTATCTTTGGAATGGGCGTAACTCTTCTCTAGTCAATTAACCAGGTAGCTGTAGTCCAAATGTCATGGCATAAAGTGCTTCTAATGTGAGGTGACCAGACGTCCCGATTTTTAACAATTTTTCCCGCATCTCACAGCGTTTAAAAAAAGTCCCGATTTTTTGAAAGAATGCACGACAAGCTAGGTATACGGTTTTCGGCTGTCATGTGGCTATTTCGCCAGGATATGAGTTTTATCAATGGTGTCCCGCTTTACCAATGTTAAAATCTGGTCACCTTATTCTAGTGTTGCATCTCAATTGATATTTTTGCAATTTCTGGAGTCTTGTTTTTTTGTAATGCCTTCAGGGCAGTTTGAACTTCTTCCTGCAGTACTATCAGTTCTCGATCCTATGCTACCTCCTGAAGTGGTGAGCGCCAACCAACTCTTTCTGATACTGTGACACTGCTGTTTTTTCTTTCCAACTTCTTTTGATGCTTCCTGCATTGCTTGCCTAGAGAAGCCTTCAATATTAAACTGGCCGTTTGAAGTTTTCCTTCTTTCAGGTCTTTCAGTTCTCAGCTTGACACATTCCAAGTGCAGTCTTTCTGTCTGGGTCTTAACTCAGGTCTGTGCCCTTTCACCATACCACTTTGTCTTCTCCAGCTGCCTGTCACCATCTTGTTTGGCTCTTTTACATCACCCTTTCTTCCATCTGTGTTAGCTACTCTACATTCAAGAGCAAGTGTTCTGTTTCTCCTGACAGCCATTTTGGAGTTTTTCTTTTTGCTCAACTTTTAGACATTTTTTTATTCAAGACTTTTATTGGGGGCTCTTACATCTCTTATCACAATCCACACCTTCATCCGTTGTGTCAAGCACATTTGCACACATGCTGCCATCTTCATTTCCAAAGCATTCTCTTCCCACTTGAGGCCTTGGTGTCAGCTCCTCCTTTCTCAACTTTTTAACGACCTTCTGCTTTCTTCACGTTTGTTCTTGATGTCCTCCTACAACTTGTGTGGCCTTTAGTCACAAAGATTCAATGCCTCCAATCTACTCTGGAGATGGTCTCTAAATTCAGGTGGGGTATGCTTAAGGTAGGATTGGCTCGCACGAACTTTTCATTTTCTTCAGCTGCATTTTAAACCTGCTTACGAGCAGTTATACTGTGATATACAGGGTCCTGAGGGTACCTAACAAGGTGAACAACTGACAGTCTACTCTGCATTTAGCCTTCTTTTGACTGATAACAGAGTGTCTCCACGGTTTCTTTCTATAGATGTAGTCAATTTGACTCCTGTGCATTCTGTCTGGTAAGTTCTACCGGTAGGTACGTCACCATTTACACTGTGGAAAAAAGATTTCCAGTGAACAAATCATTGGTCGTGCAAGATTCTATCACACTGTCTCTGGTGTTGTTTCCATTGCTGTGGGCATTATTTTCCAATGACAGATCCTGCTTTTCCGTTTTGAACTTTCACATTCCAAACACCAGTAACCACGCAGGCACCCTACTGCAGATTAGGGACATTCCACGCTGTAAAGACCTCCGATTTCTCCATCACTGGCGTCAGTGCTTGGTGCATAAAGCTGAATGGTTGTCATTATTAATCAGTTTCTCTGTAGGTGGCTGGGTTCTATCGTATCACTGAGCACTGTGCTAAGAAGACAGATCCTGAATGGTTTATTTTTACAAGAAATGTGATCCTGTTCCTCTTCAACTTGCTGTTCCAGACACAGATGATGAGGTAGTTAGTTTATTGTGCCAACCTGGCTAATAAACACATGTGGGGTAATTGAAGGGCGGAGGGATAAATGGCTCAGTGAGCCTAGCCATTCTAGTTCTTGGGTCTCTTGCTTTCTGATGGTGGGACCAGGGTGCAGCTACCTTAGCCAGTTCCCTGCTTTAGCTTGCAAGGCTCACTTCCTGTAAGACATCCCCAAGGAAAAGTCACATGAACCTACCCCGATGCCGCTCTGGGTGCTGGAGCAGCCATGTGGAGACCCTTGCCAGTGCTGAGATGCTTACACATTCACTGACTCAGCTTTCCTCCTGCAGTCGGCATCATTGCCTCTGTTTTGTGAGGTGGAGGAGGACTTTGTGGATTGATGTTGGACATATGGGTTAAGGTTGGACTTGTGGGCTTGGGCAGAACTGGGTTGGGATGTTTTCTTGATGTGCACTTAACCTTTATATGAAACTCTCTCTTATAACAAATCTGTGGATTTGTTTCTCTAAAGTACCCAGACAAACAGAGATGACTGTATAGTTTTCAGATTCAAAATGGTGAATACCACTCTTTCAGCTCATCAAGGCCTAGCATACTGATCTTTATGTATTGCTTTACTTTTGATAACTCATATTTTCCTAGATTCATCCTTTGTACACTCCATGTTTTGATCATGGATGTCTATAGCTGTTTCTTTTCATTTTGAGTCATGCCACCGCAGCAAAGAAGGCTCCCTCTATGACTTGAAGGTGTCTGGCGGTAGTTTGAGGAGGCAGCTCTTTCCCAGAGGCCTTTTGAGTACCTTGCAACTGGAGCAGTCAGGGTCAGAACTGGATCTGCCAGGTTCGGCTGCTATGTTCAGTGACTAATCCCTTGGAATCCGACCGCTTACTCCTTCTTCCTTATGCTTTTCGTCTGGAAGCTCCAATGAAAACAATTTACCATGTATGAACCTGCTAGTACTCGAAGCAAGCAAGTCAGCCCACTACAACAGAGGGACAGAGGAGCAGCAGTGGGTCATCCTCAGAACCATGTAATAGTGAATGAAACACCCCGACGACTTCCTCTAAAGGTGACAGTCCGTGATGCAACGCCCCAACCTCAATGAGCTGACGAGGTACTTCCCATAACTGTTAGGTTCACTTCCTCAAGAAACACTTTCCCACTGGTTTTGGCTGAAATGTCTGTGTGGTGCAGGGGACACCGAAAAGTAGAGTTCTAATATGCCAGCATGCCTTTTAGCTCACACAATCATGTTATTCACGAACGATTTGGAAAGCCGAGGTCAAGGTTACTCACCGAGGTTCACGCAAGATTCCTTCCTAGTGCAGGGGCAGCACAAAGCAAAACAAAACAAAGCTAAGCAAAAAGGGCAAGAGAAAGCACACCAAGTCTTTGCTAGTTTTGGAAGAACAACTGAGAGCCACGGCTCGAGCCTCAGGGAATGAATGCCAATCCACAAGTGGTCAAGTCAGAGCTCCGGGTCCGGTCAGGGGGCCTGGCTGGCAGAGCAAGATGGTCAGTGAGTACCCTGGCTCTGAGCTGGACACAGCCCTGTAGGAGAAGGTGTCTATCACCCTTAGCTCAGACACCACTGGTACACTGTGGTCAGATCACGTGGGTTGTCAAGGGAATCAGAGTTCAGGATATTAAAGTTATAAAAAGGTAGAGTACGTCAAGGCTGTCCCCAACAGGACACCCACAGTCATGGCGACGCTTTCCAGAGTGGGAGGAAGCGGGCTGAGCTACCACAACCACAGGCATGGCCCCAGGAGCCGCCAGAACCAACTGCCCACACAGGGAGAAGCTTAGACCATAACGCCAGGCTGATGGCCTAGAAGGCGCTTTTTGGGTCACCCACTCCCACAGCAGCCCTCCCAGCGTACTTTTAGAGGGGCAACTTATGTTATAAAAAAATTAAAATACTGATTTTGCAAAAAGTGAATTAAAACAATGACTTACCCCAGCAAACGCCCCAGCGTGCAGCACTCAACTTACACAGAGACCCAGGTGGCAAGATTTTTCTCACGGGGTAGTCCATACACGCCTTGTTGGTGCTGCACCAAAGACACTGAAATTCAAGGTCAGCATTGGACGAATGTTAGGGCAAAATGTCGAAGCCATGCCTCACCGCCTCAAGGCCTCTAAGCACGCCACCCCGCCCCGGGCTGAGATGACCTTGGCCTCACAACCAGACTGTTTTCCACTCTCAGCACAGCTGCTTCTGTCTGCTGCCACAGCAGCCCGCTCAGAGGAAGAGCTGAGGCCCAGGGGCACTGCACTCTTCCCCTGGTGCTAAGCACAATCCCTCACGGGGTCTTTGCATGGTCTGCGCACTCTGGTCAGGAGGCTCCCTCTTTCCTTCAACAAACGTCACCTCCCCAAGGAGGCCGACCCTCACCAACTTCTTCAAGTTGTCACCATCCTCACCCCCTTCTCTGCTGGGCCGGTTTTCTCCTGCCCCCATCCACCCCCAACCCTGTGCACTGTGTAGTCTGTGGCAGCTGTGTGCTCCCTGGGTGGCACCAGAGCACCCAGGACCAAGTCTGGCCCACGGGAGGTATTTAATAAGTGTTCACTGCACAATTAAGTCCACCACCTCCTCTGCTTTTGATCAGGGGCTCACCCTCTTACGGTGGCTCTTCACCGCCACACTGAGTGGTGGGCACTGTGCACCCAGTTTAATGGTCATGTAACTACGGCTCATGGTGGCTGTCTTACACTTCTGATACCGTAAGATGCGATGGTAAGGCTGTGGTGACACAGAGCCTCCTGTACCCACGGCACAGTTCCTAACACATGTGCTTGGTGGCAACCAGAAGATGGATAAGCAACAGGAGGCGGCAGGAGACTGATGTGCACAGAGGAGGGGACACGAACCGTGCTGGAGATAGCACCTGCCATGCCACGACAGGCCAGACTGTACTTTGTATTTGAACTCTTGATTGAAGCAGTTTAGGAGGAGAGATCAAAATTGTTTATCCCGGTTAGGATGAAGCCTATTAACAAGACATCTCCAGAGGACCCCTGGCTTGCCTAGGTCTATTTGTAAAGTATCCACTTTAGGGTCTTGTGCTTACGGTCATTCAGGCCGTCCTTAACCACCTGTGTAGCCCTCTGCTGATCGGCGCCCGCCGGGAACCTCTCCCACCCCAGGAGCTACATAAAGAGTGCGTATGGAACACTTGGGTGACAATACAGTTCTCCACAGGCATTGTGATATGCTCCAGGAAAGGACAACACAGCCCCTATAACATACAAGGGCTCTGGCTGTGGGAGAAGCCATGTGTCCTGAGGACGAGGCGACACGCTGAGCTACTTACGGAGACATTTTTCAGGCACTCTTCACAGGTTCTGTTTGAGTTCTCAGAGCAAGCTGTGGGGAAAGAGGAACAAGGAAATCATTGAATTGTGCAACAGAGACATTAGAGACATTAGACTCCTGGGGCGGGAAAGGTGGAGGGCAGGATATTTGTGAGTCTCCTGATGCTTGACTCTGATTCAGAACCATAGTATTCACAGTCCGCCCCCTCCCCCCCAAGAACACACCTCCTTCAGGAAATGCCAACCCGTGCAGAGCAGCTAGCAGCCAAATGCTGTGGGCACGCATGCAGGCACACTCCCATGCTCACAGGGTCTCCTGGGGAGAGGAGGTCAGCAGACAGCCCGCTGGAGCCTCAAGAAGTGTGTGCGTGGAGGGTCACGAGTGGATTGGAGCCTGCAGCTGGGCAGCAGCAGCAGACACTCTGGGACCCAAGCCTTTATTCACCACTGAGGCGAGGCCAATCCCCATGCCCAAGAGGCTCACCAGGGTCTTCAGGCCCACCCTGAGCCTCGGTGACGAAGCAAGGCCTCCATCTCCCCCAGACAGTGCAGAGCAGGAAGTGCCACAGATTCAGCTGCTCCAATCATGGGGCTCTAACCACGACAGACCCCACTGTTGCTACAGGGAGGGATCAACCTCCAACAGCTCACAGCTTTGTTATTCCAGCTGAGCAAGGAGAAGGGCTGACCACATACAAGACTTCCCATGTCCCCTCATGCAGCTGCTGAAGGATCACTCTCCCCCTGCCCCCCCACCCCCAAACACTCACTCACTCTGAAAAGAGCTCTGTGACCTGAAGACTCCAAATCCGAGCCCACCTCGAGTGGCTACCATTGGAAAGTGCTGGTGAGAATCAGCATGGCCCCCCAGTGCTGGGGGCTGGGGGGGAAACAGGCTGGATGCTTTGGTGAAAGGCTGGGCGGTTTGCTCAAAGTGGAAACTCCCCAAACCACAGATTCTCGTCAGCCATGGGAAGGGAAGTACAGCTGACCCCACTGAACTCCCTTACTGTAGTGAGCGCTGCAGAAGAGGCTGCGGCGAGCACGAGGGCAGGCGGCTGAAGTTCCAAGTCTCTGGGAAGATGACCTTGGGGAAAGGGAGGTGTGATGTGGTCCCCAAGACAGACGCCCTGGGGGAGGGGGGCAGACCTGGCAATACTACAAACCTCTGCTAGGAAACTGGACTTCTGAGCACTGGTTCTGGAAGGCTTGGACGCAGACACCGTAAGGGCCCACCGTGTGCCAGGCCGTGCCCTCTGGACACCGCTCCTCACTAAAGGGCACGGGCTGCCTCGAGAAATGGTTAACACCAGGATTAGGCCAGGGGATGGCCAAGCTCAGCCCTGAACAGCCTGCTGCTCTAGAACCTGAGCAATGCCCGCAACTGATGGGAACACGCAACTGATGGACACCCCCAACTGATGGGCACCAACTGATTGGCACCCCCAACTGATGGGCACATGGCTAAAGCCCGAAGCCCACATGGGAGAGCAGGGAGTTGTCGTCCTGCTCACAATTGGGGTAATCTAGCTGGCAGGGACGGACTAGCATCCAGGAATCAAGCAGCCCATGAGTCACAGCAACAAGGAGTAAGCACACAGGAGGCGGCTGCAGAGAGGGAGGCGCTGTCACCACTGGACACCGCGACACAGCCAGTCACCTGAGGGGTGTAGGGTAGGGCCACTGCCCACTCAAATGCTTTGGTAAAAATAGTCACAGCAGATACCAATGGGGAGTGGCCAGCACTCTGAGTAGATGGGGATCCCGGAATCCACCAGACCAGACCTTCAGCCTTTCCATGGCTTTGGTATGTTTCTAAACAGAGGGCTGGGCAGGAGGCTCTGCGCAGCTGCCAGACACGCCCCGTTCACACTGCCTTCTTGAAAAATATTTACCAGAAAGGATACCCTGCCTTCTCATCCAACTCAGAGGGTGGCCATCCCAGGGGGCCAGGAAGGGTGAGCAGAGGGAGCAGACACTCCCTGTCAGGGAGTGCCCTTGATGAAGCCATGCTTGGATAACTACTTTTCGTGAACAAAAAGAATTCTGTCCAAGAAACACATCACTGCTCCATACTGCCTGGGGCCTCAAGACCCAGAGCCAGCATGAGTCATGGGGAGCCTGGGGTGCAG